TGAGATATCATCATGTTTTTCTTTTGATTTTTGATCAACATGAAGATGGTCTCCTTGGGACTCTATCTCATCTTTTATTTTGCTTTCATCAGGTTCAGACTCTGAGCAGTATGAAGAAAAATGGGATACCTCTTCTGCTGCTTCACCTTGCTTAGCCAAAGGTGCTAAAGTATAATCATTGGATGATGAAACTGTATTTGCTTCTGCATTACCTATTTTTGAATCATTAATTGACTGATACGATTGCAAAACGATCTGATCTAGTTCATCTTCCAGATTTCTCACCCTAGACCTGAAACAGAAAATTAACCCATCCTTAAATGATGAATTTTGCGTAACTTTCTCCAATTCATTTTCCAATTCCCAAGCGTCTTGTCGCTCAACTACCTAGATCCCTGAGGGTTTTCTGGCTTCGAATTTATGAGAAGGCGGGCTTCCAGTTCATTTATTTTTGTCTTAAGAGAATCGATATCGGAATCCTTCAAAAATGAAGCTTTTTGCATCGAAGATATTATGCTTTCCAGTGATTTAACCATAGACCTTAGCGATTCTATTTCTTTTAATTGCTTGGCATTAAGAGTGACATGAGACTTTCGTTCGCAAGTAATTTGGGAGACAAGCTTATTATTCAAACTATTTAGTTGATTAGCTAAGGGGGAAATTTGATTTATAGAATTATGCATACGCTCATTTTCCTCATGTGAGTTATCTAGATCATTTTGCATATGCTCATTTTCCTCATGCGAGTGATCTAGATCATTTTGTATACACTTATTTTTTTCATCTAAGACATGATATTTAGTTAAAAGCTGTTTGGCAGATCTTATAAACTTTTTGCAATCTTTTTTTAGCTGTTCTTCAAGCTCTAAATGACTAGGTGGATATTGATTGGATGGAGGGCTTCCAATTTTACTGCCATCACTATTGCCTACATCATTTAAGGTATAGATTCGAGGCATAGTTTTTTATCATCGCAAAATATAGTCAAAAAATATAATTTATAAATAATAACATTTATTCTAAATATCCTAAGTATCCTAAGTATTCTAATTATCCTAATAAATTTTTTCGAAATAATATATTTATCCTATTTATCCTAGTAAATTATTTTCAAAATAATAGGGTTAACATACTTATTCTAAATATTAAAAGGAATACACTTATCCTATTTATCCCAAAGAATACATTCATTATATTCAGTCTATTTAATATTTTTTTGAATATTTTATCTAAAAAAAAAAATACCATCACAACTATGGTTAGACAGCGTATGAATTGTAATGTACCTCTATTTTCATCAATCGATTATGATTTTATTATTCAACGCCATGATGAGAGACCTAGAAAAAAAGTTTTAGAGGAATTAATGGTCAAATATAATACATCAATGAAGCGCATATATCAGATTTGGAGAGGCGAAGAAGTTAATAGAATTGCCTAGAATCAACCAATAGCTGATATTTCTAATACTACTTATGCAAGTGGGTGTTTACCTGTAGTAATCAGTGACCCACCTCCTGCTATTTCCTCTCCACCTGCCTTACCACTGAAGAAAAATAGTCGAAAAAAGAAAACAGGTAAAACGGCATCTACTGAGATGGAAACAGAGGTGATTTCACAACGCAGTGCTAATACCAAAGATAATAATGATATTTTATCTGAAATGGAATCTGAACTTGAAGATGTATTACAACAAATGAATGATACTAAATAACTTACTTCTTTTCGACAAGCATTTTTATAGCACTTATTGCTTTACCAAGCTTAGGGTTCCTCAAAATCGAATCGAATCAAATATTTAAGCAATTTGAATTTGATTTGATTTTTTCAAATCGAATC